GAAAACACAACTGTCATCTTCTCCTCTGATCTCCCCAAAATCACTCTTCAAAAACAGCACTCTTCTTAATGACTATAGCTAGCCACATTATGATGTCTGAATCAACTAAGACTGAGACTACAGTGCCAGAATAACACTGAGCAGACAGGTTGAAAAGAGCAGGAAGATGAGTCAACAAATGTAACTGAAAAAAATGAGAAGAAAACTAGCAATGAAAAGAGCAGTTCTTCAAGGTAAGTTGCAGTGGCAGGTGCTCAAGGTATCCTGCTTCAGCTGCAAAGGAAGAACTGAGATCACTCCTCTGAGCTAACAGCTGCAGCCTCACTCATCCCAGTGTGAATGGGTTTCAGTTCATTTGGACTGGGAAACTGGGCAGTAGAGCAGCCCAATCTCCTGCTACACATCCTATAAGCATGAGATAAATACAGCCTGGATAAATCTCTAAAAAAGAGGTGGCAAAACAACAAGGCTGAAATAAAGAAAGAGGCTTGAGCAGGGGGTCATTCGGAGAACATGAGACTAAATAGGCAGTTGTATTCTGACTTGCCATTACAGTGACTGTGAAGCTGAATACTGAATACAAAAGAATGATTACTGGTGTTAGGTAAAATATTTTATAGCTTATAACAGACCTTATTACCTGAACAAGAAGACAGTATAATCGTAATTATTATGTCACTAACTACCCATTTGCAGAACCCATGGAACAGTGCTAAAGAGAAGTTGTGGATGCCCCATCCCTGAAGGCATTCAAGGCCAGGCTGGATGTAACTCTGGGCAGCCTGGTCTAGTGGTTGGCAACCCTCCCTACAACAGAGGGGGAGGGGGGGGGTTGAAACTAGATGATCTTTGAGGTTCTTTTCAACCCAGACCATTCTATGATTCTTTGATTCTAAAATGGCATCATTTAAGTATTATAATCCATTACATTGGCCAGGAATCTATAGAATGGAATGCACTACTGTATTCAGAATTAGAATAGAATACAACCTTTTTTTTTCCCCAGAGGTGCAGATATTGCCTTGCAAAGTGTCCTTCTTCATCTATTTCTCCTGTTATATGTTGATTTAATACTGTAATTAAAATGAAAATTGAGTTTGTGTTTATATGTCTTTCATCTGAGGAAATAATCAAAATCTCTCAATTCCCTTTCAGCTCTATCAATTTCCATCTCTAAAAAGATCAACCCGCACATCAGTTTATGACACACTTTGTGGGAAAAATCTACGTACCTTTGCAAAATCAATTGTTTTTTCAACTATTTGCTTGTGCTACTTAAACCATGAATTCTAGGTTAACTGAAGCAGCAGAAGCACCAGCAGCTTTGGTACTGAAATCTTATTAAATCTCTTCACAGTAGTTTATAACTTTTAAAAGTGATACAACTAGTTAGGTAGCAAGAGAAGCTGCCCATGCTGACCGAATGCCTGATTCTAAAAATATGTATTTCAAATCATACTACTCGCTATTACAAGGATCTCACTGAAGTTTGACTTCTATCTCGTTATCGAAAATTGTCACATAATTGTAAAATACAAATAGTTTTTTTTCATGCTGGTTATATCTTATCAATTCTAATTACTCTTCTACATGCAACTCCCCAGACTGTGACATCCATCTATTAAAACTTCAATTCTTCACGAGACAAATTATGATTTCATTTTAACATTGCAAGTTAGAAAGAAATGCCCATTCAATAGGAAACTTGCTGCAATAAATGTAAGTTTCTTCCTATTGTAACTTGCAGCCTGTAGCTATTACTGCATCTTACACATTTCAACAGCAAACTGGAGGAACCTCTGGGTAAATATTTTTTCCAAAGTTCTTCCTGTCCCTCCTCCCCTGTGAATTTAGACTTGGTAAATATATGGCTTTTAAGTGCTTGATTAAATCACAAATGAAACTCGTACCTATCACTGAAATAACTACTCACACTTCTAATAGCATTCTTAAATTCTACCTTACAGCCCTAATTAACTCTTATTGCTGGACATATGCATTATTTTCTTTAGCAGTTTTATTCAAAAGTGTGTAAACACAAGTTTAAATGTGTGTAAACACATTTCTTACACAGCTGTGGAGCAAAAAATTACAGTTTTTCTGAACTGAGCAACCCTACATCTGACCCCAACATGAAACCTACAAAAACATACTTTTAAGCAGAGATAGCCCTGTATTTATATTTTGCTCTCTCACCTTTCTTGGTAATGGAGGTTAAATCCAATTCAAAGTCAGACACATCATTTTGTTCTACTACTTATAATCGGTTCAAATTATCTACCTATGAAAACTCCCAGTCCCAGAGCTTTTGAGTGAAGTATTTTAGGTTGTTATTTTTTTTTTTTAATTTGGAAAAATATATAGGTACTTCACTACATAGAAATATAGTCCTTATTCACAGTCATGCTGTTGTATCTGATATGTGAAAAAATAATCAGTATGCAACAGCATATGTCTATGCCAGCATTTTATATGTAGCAGAAGTACACTTCTGAAGCATTATTGAAATAGAAGGAAATTGATTATAGAAACGGGTAGTCCACAACTGAAAACTATGCAAATGAAATACTTATGATGACATTCAAACAACAGAAATATGTGAGAAAGTGGCAGTGGGATTAACACTCCCACACAGTTCAAAACTGATTATTTGGATATAGCCTCTTTCGGTCACTGATGATCTATGATTTGCATTAATCCCTAGCTTAAAGAGCATTGTGGTGAAACAATTACCCTAGTAAGCTAGAAACTCTATACAGTTCCTAACTGTTATGCAAATTTTCATTTCTGATAAGCGTTTTCAGGTTACTTTCCAGAAAATTCAACTTTCCTTATGAGACATGACATAGGAACAATATAGGAGGAGTAAACAGAAGTGGTGAACTTGCTCAACTTTACTGTGAGCCAACTTCCTCTCCCTTCTCTATGTGAATTAGATTCCTCCACCTTTTCTTTTCCCTCATTTTTATTTGTCATTCTCTTCAAAGAAGATTGTAATAGTACTGGGACCTGGTCTCTCTTAAAAAAAAAGTCAGAATTCATATGAAAAGCAGTGTTTCATGATGTATTCCCGCAGAGTTCATTTTCATTTTAATTTTGGTTAGGATCTTGCAAATCCTGCTCCTATTTTTCTCAAAACTTCTCTTCAAGCCAGCAGTCTTCTAGCAGTTTCTACTTCATCAGACAAGGTTACTCTGAACTTGGTATCAAGACCATTGTTGGAAATAGCCAACATATGAAACAGAGAATAAGTTTTCACTCATTTGAGATGGCCTGAGAAAATGCATTGCTTAGCTATTTATGGTTTTTATGATCAATCCCATGTTGCTCTGATACTCTTTTCTTCATCTGTCTTATTTGGTATGAGAACTACTCAGTGACTCCCTAAGGACAGTGACAAAAGAGAGAAAATAATTTTTGATGTTCTGAATTATCTTACAACTTGAATAAGTAAATAATGAAAAAACATTCTTGCCCCAAAGGATATTCAGGTGACTACTGTCACAACTTATAAGTAAATCTTGTAGAAGATCATAATCAAATTTACAATGAAATTCTGCTTGTTCAAGAGCCAAAAGATATTAACATGCTACGTTCTAATGGTGACTCCTGCAAGCCATTATTATTTTCTGAGATTTAAGTTATTTACAAGACTAAATTGCAGCTGCTGTCTACTGCACTTGTTAAATATATTACAGCAAGCCTGAGACTATCTCAACAGTCAAAAGTCAATGAAAAATACCCTACAATGTTCAGATCAACACAAGCAAAGTCTTTATTTCTAAAATATCAATATAAAAATTGCATTTTTCTTTTAAAATTATTCTACAAATCCCATTTAAGTGAGTAATAAGGGCACTATAATAAATTCTTTCTAGCTCGGCAAATCATACCATAATTTGTGCACACACTAAATGCTGACCAAATTCATTAAAAGCAATAATCACAAATTGCTTGGGGTTTCTATTCACTATTAACAGGTTTTAAATAAATGCCTGTGAGATTTAGGAACAGAAGTTGTTTTTGAAACTTCCCTCCCAGGTTTTAATAAACTTAATGAGAAGGGGAAACTCTAAAAACCTCTGGAAACCCAAGTATTTTTCACTTGTAAATGCTGAAACACTGAAAACACAGTTCTGCAACTGCTTTTTTTTTTTTTTTTTTTTTTTTTTTTTTAGTTATAACTAACTAGTTCCCTTTATTTCCAATGAACGTAATATTCACACTACATTTATTATTTACCTCTGCAGCCCACATCCCTCATCACAGACATTCAGCCTTCAGATTCACAATTTTCTGCTGTGTTGATGCCAATTCTCCTGCTTCTAACCTGCTGGCAGCTCTGTATCCCCTCTCACATAGGAGGTCAGGATGAAATGAGAGCTGTAACCCAACATCACTCCATAAAACAACCTAACTCCTTCACTGGACCACACAGAGCTCTTCCTTAGGGATTACCATCCACTGATCCATGCAAACGTTCAGTGCAGCCCACCTAAATTAATGAGAGAATGGCTATTTCTCTTATTCTATGTACTGCTACAGAACATAAGGAATTAAAACACATACATGATGTTGGGAGTTAGAAAACAGGCTTTAAAAATTACTGATTATTTTAAAATCTATGTTGAAAAGGTTATGCATGTATGTGCAAACAGGGAAAAAATAAGTGTTTATGACTACTGGTTCTTTTACCCTGGTATTTTTAAGCGAATGAATCATTATTAGACAGGTTTTTCATTCTTATGAGAATTAACTGCCAGCAACCTTCCCCTTCTCTTAGATGAAACTAATACAATATTTAGGTTACAAGAGAAGGACTTCTATTTCAAAGAGGTGGTTGGCGAGCAACAAAGCAGAAATGCAGCTTTGATTCATTGATGTATTCACATTTCCAACAAATACCTACTTGATAAAGCTATTTCCTTACTTAGAGTCAGACACCATACAGAAAATTTCCCCTATGAGTCACTGACTTGTTTTGGTATTAATTATTTTACCTGTAATGTACATGCAATCTCTGGATTTCTTCTTCTAACTTTCTGCACTGCTGAAGAGTGTCTTCTTTTTCTTGTTGCAGGGCTATCAGTTCTGCCTGCAGAATGGTAAGCAAAGGAGAAACAATTTATTCAGAATATCTATATCTCTTTGAAAACATTGCAATCTTTTATGCATTCATTTCAGCCATGTTTTATTGTAAGACAAGTACTTGGTTATACTATTCCATAACACTGCCTGTGCCATTTTTAGAAAAAAATATTTCTTGTAGCATTATAACTGTTTCTAATTCCTTTTCACAGCAGGATGATGTTTTGAAAGGTTTCCTTTGCATACACAGTAAACTTTTTGAATGGGTGAGGTTAACCATACTTAGTTGAGCCAAGTTTCTTGAGAAACACGTCATAGTTATATAACATTCTCACTGCAAAATTCTGTAAGCGACATACTCTATAGTGAGTGAAACAAAGCACTCAATCTTCAGCTACTGATGTGCACCTCTTGGTCAGCATGTGGCCATGTTGCAGCTCCTGCCCTAAGAGCCACCTGACGCTCCTGGTGAAGTCTGCTGAGACAGGCAGTGCTGGATTGCTCCAGGAGCTGGCTGCATTCCCATCCAGAACCTGGTTTATGGTGGGGCGAGGGACTCCCTGAGCAGCCACTGCCATCTCCCACCTGTGCATCGTCCCGGATGTTCCCCTGCCTTTGTTTGCTGGCATGGAGCTGAGCAGCCTGTGACTCACAGCCATGGTGGAGATTGCAGTGCGCGGCTGGTAGGTCAGGAAGGCAGCCAGCCCCAACATGGCGCTACGGGTAGCGAGGAGGAAGGAGAAATAGCACTCATGCATATTAAATAAGGCTTTACAGCTTAATCACCATTAATTTTAAAATGTCCAATTTCAATAGCACTGCAGAACTCCCTTGAGGGCCCAGATACCATATAAATTACCTGATAATCATTGGATGATTAATTGTTGTAACAACAAATAAGACTGGGCTTGCACAGCAATTCCTTGACACACGAGCCTGAGCATTGGGCTGGTTTCCAATGTTTCTAATTCATGGTGTAAGTTATTAGCTGTACAAATTGTACAGCCTCAAACCAAGGGGTACGTGTGAGAGAAATGCTGAGGTGAATTCTGCCAACTTCTCAGGACAGTGTTGCGGAACAGTTTCTTGGTAAATTAAAGACTTGTTACGTGAGCTACGAACACACGAAGGGAATGATAGAGAATTCAGCTCTGAGCTCTGCCAGACTCACTGCATAATCATCAGCAACTCAGTCTGTGCCTCAGTCTCTTGAAACAGGGCTCATGCTTGCTTCTGTTTCCTGCTTGTCTGTTAAGACTGTAAGTCTTCAAGGCAGGTGTTTTACTGTTTACTGTCAACTCCCAGTCATCTATAGACAATTTATCCTGCTGGCTGATTAATCATGTCCTGGATACATGGCTCACTACTGGCAGATTTTACTGAGCACTGCTCTGCGCAAATGCAGCCACACAGCCAGTCAGCACTGTGCTGACCAGAGGATCATGCTGTACCCAGGGCTTTGTGTCACTGGGGTTCAGGACCCACTGCTGCAGCTGCTCCTGTAACAGACATACATAAAATTTTAACAGAGGGCTCCCTGGAGAATAAAAACAAACTTTCTTACAATATAGAGCATTCCTGCAGCTTGAAAGGCAAAAAGCGTTAATGTTTAACCTTCAAGTGACAGTAGTATAGAGCTTCTGATATCAAAAACAACGTACTGGATGCTGGCAAGCCCTAACTCTGCCAGCAAGAGGTTAAAATCCTCTGCAGGTGAGCTGCTTGCCTGGTGCTGCTTGCTGCCTTGCAAGCAGAACGCACAGAACACAGGAATGTCAGCCAAACCAAGCTATTTTCTATAATTATACTGTACTGTAGGTGAAACAACATTCTTAAAAATTGGAAAACATGCTTGAATCAAAGTAGGTGGTTTGTTCTAGAGGCCAATAATTAAAATCCTTGCCAATTTTCAGTGTACTGTGAAGTGTGATTGAAATGGGAGACTGGAAGGAAATGTTTGCAGCTGACACACCTACTCACAGGGAGATTAACGGCTAGTCTCTTTGGAGAACTATCATAAAAAATACATCTCATGTTCCACTCACTTTTCAGGACAAAAGTCAGAAGGCATTGGAGTCTGAAGACTCTTATTTATGTCCATTTTCATCAGAAAAACCATACTGTTTTGACTGGGTTCTCATCTGACTTACACCAGCAAAATTAACAGTAGAATCAGGTGCTCTGGATTAAAAATTAAAAAATAAAGCAATACCAAAAAACAGCTAAAAAATCTCAAGGGAAGAAAATAAGGCAACCCTGAGCGGGTTGATACTAGGGAGCTACATGAGATCAATCAAAATTCCAGCCCAGGTGTCTTGGTGCACGGTACGCCACCATGCAACAAAATGGCCATCATTCACAGCCTGAAGAGTAGTAAACACAAACAAATGACTGAAGTATCCTTACTAGGAGGAGGAAAGCAGAACAACACACATAACGATGTTATGCTAACTGCTAACTACAACAACGTCACTTGCACAACTATAAAATATTTGAAGACTTCTATAATGTACATTGAAATCCATCCACAGCGTACATGGCAGAAGTCCTATATGACCTCACCTCCAGTAATAACAATAGCTTTATGGGAACTTTTAAACAAAATATTATTTCTTTGGAAAATGTCACAATGTGGATATCAGAACTTCTCACTGAAATGTATCAGTTTTGATTATTATTATTTTGAAAGTAGGGGAAAGAAGGAGCGTTGACAACCAAAAGAATTACACCCATATTCCTCTGGTGGAGGCTTTCCCCAAAAAGACTCACTTAGTGGCGAAGTTGGTCACCACCTTGGTATATGGGATGCTCTCAGTGAAGTTTCCGTTAAACTCAGAAACGGTATTTGGATATGGTCTCTTTCTCAGAACTTTTGTTTGACTGCAAATTCTAAAGCTTTCACATACGGTTTAATATGGATAGATCCTTCTCTCTTTGCCTCCCAGCCCAATTTCTGTCAAAAGAAAAACAATACCCTTATTTCTACATTTATCCCATTTTGCATTTTAATAGTTACTTATAGAAAAACTGTATTTTCAAATTAAATTAGATCTCAAAGTTAATTGCTACATATTGAAACATAAAATAGCCATGTCTTGAATAAGAAAATGCCATTATTAATCTCATTGTTGTTGCTTTTATTTGAAAATATTTAAAGCACAATCCTATGTGCAAACTAAAGCAATGGAAAAGAGAGTTGTTATCCTTTTCCTACTCCCCTAGGGCAAACACAAGCATCCTAAACCCTAATCTAATTTGAAACTTGTTATATGTAAGCTGACACAGATCTAAAGCTTCTGATACGGTGCCACATGGAAAATTATTAATTAAAAAAATGTAGAATGTGTATGTTGTCAGAGTTCCTATGGATGGCAGATGACTTTTACAGTGTTTTTCTGCAGCCAACAGAAGGAAAAAATGTTCAATGACCCTGAGTAGAAAAACTGAATAGTATGATTGTCTTACTGATGGTTTTTTCTCCTCATGCACTTATAGAGAGCATTTATATTTTCACCTTCATATATTTACAGACAGAATATAAATTTTCTTCATTATGTGGGCTAAACATAACTTCTTCCATTATGTCTCAGCCGGTAGGCTCTCCAGTTCCTCAGTCTTTCCAAATCTATCTCTCATGCATGCACTGGTAACAGTGCTACTTAACTCCAATGGACACACTTCACCTGACATGTTCTTGCACTCCTTTTGCTCACAGCCACCATCCTATATCAACTGTCTGCCTGCCCACTGGTACAATCCAGCTAATAGTAAAAATTCTTGGTGCCACTGAACATCATCCACTGTTTTTTTTTTCTCCAGTACTTGAGGTCATTCCAATCATTCTGCATGACAGCCTGGACTTTATATTAATAACACCTCTTAGCTCTACAGCATCAAGCTACTTCACTAGTACACTTCTGTTCTTCATACCAAATGTTACTAATGAAAACATTAAAAAAAATTGGTTCAGCACCAACTGGTGAGAAACTATGTAGAAACTTCACAGTAGAAATCCTTGGACTTTAACACTACTCCTTTCAAAGCTGTTTGCTGTTGCCTTTCTGCTGACTAGTTCCTTATTGCCTTTGAATAATCTCTCACCACCTTCATGGGTGCATGATATTTTGCAGATGGAGCACAACTTGCCCATCCTTCCAAACAAGAGATGCTAGCTGAACCCAGTTAATAGCAAGCAGGATTTCCTATACTAAGCTTGTGGCTGCTTGTAAAGCATACACAAGCTCCATCTTTTTAATTAATAATTTTCTATGTGGTACCAGATCAGAAACTCTACTTTTTTGTCAGCTTATACATAACAAGTTTCCTTGTCTAAATAACCACTATCGTGTCTAAGAATACTTGCATGAATTCATGTGAGTGAACAATGTTCTTCAATCTACTGTTGCTTTAAGTATTTTCCTTCCAAATTTACTGAAGACTCAAAATAAATACTAACTGGTGTATAACTGCCAGGATTACTTTTTGTTTGTTTGTTTTCTAAACGTAGGTGCTTCCTCAGCTAACTGTCAAATCATATCACACAGAACCTCATAGGATTTATTAAATAACTTTACTAACATTTCTGCAATTTTAGTTAGGAGCTCTTTTGGAATTTTGGATAGAGGCAACCATTATCCCAATATGAGCACAATAACTTACTCAACAGCAGTGATAAACTCAATTTCCATACCTTCAGTTCTCTTAACCCTTTTCCTAATATTTAACATCATCATTTCTCACTGCTGATAGAAAAACAAAGATCAAGCAGTTTTGGATCTAATACAGATTATCCTTGATGTCTGTGCCATTCTTAGAATGGTAGCACATTTCTTCTTTCCTTGTTCTCATTTTGGTCGTTTCACTATTGTTTAACTCCCTTTCTAAGGGCCAATTTAGCTTAACCTCCTGCAATCTCTATTAATTCTTGTATCTTCTATTTTCTATGATTTAACTTTGTTGGTTAATAAGTTCTCCTTTTTGTAGATGCTCAGTTTATTCTTATCAAGA